AAATAACCTACCCAGGTCACAGAACAATGAAGTAGATTTTAACCCAGCAAATCTGCTATGCTACACTTTATGCTACACCATCTGGTAAACTTCCATTTACCCACAGTGTGTGTGTGTGTGTGTGTGTGTGTGTGTAATATGAGGCCTTACAGACTCACTTCCAAGCTTCCTCCATAATTCCTGTGACAGTTGGTTCCTCCTACATAGTACACAGAACAAAAGATATACTTTTGCTGTAAGATAGAGCAGAGGACTGGCGATACTGCACATGCTATGTGAGAAAATAAACACGTATTCCATGACTGCAATGACAAGAACCACCAACTCATTTGCCCAAGCTATCCACCTGGGCATTATCTGGGAGTTTTCCTCTGCTCACCCACCTACTCAACTTACTAACTTCCATACCTTCATGCAATCACCCAGTCACAAACCTCTACCTAATTACTATCCCTCAAATACATGAGGAGTACCCATAGCTTTTCAGGATAAAGATTAGCCTCTTTGGCTTGGCTCATAAGGCTCTATAACAGTGGTTCTCAACCTTCCTAATGCCGTGACCCTTTAATACAGTTCCTCATGCTGTGGTGACCTCCAACCATAAAATTATTTTTGTTGTTACTTCATAACTGAAGTAGCAATTTCAAGTAGTAATTTCAAGTAGTAATTTAGCTATGGTTATGAATCATAATGTAAATATCTGATATGCTATATGTGTTTTCCGATGGTCGCGACCCACAGGTTGAGAACCGCTGCTCTATAAGATCAAGCCTCTGCCTCCCTGCTCCTGTCATCTCCCTTCACTCGCCTGCAAGTGGTCTGCAATCCAGCTACACCTGACCTTGTGAGATTCCTGGAGTGTCAAGTTCACAGCACCGTACCCGTCTGGAATGCCCCCTTCCATACCTTTCTTCACCGAGCTGACTCCTACTCACCTGGAAGCTCAAGGGAGAGGCCCCATTATGATTATTTTAGAGACCTTGCCTTTCTGTTCCCACTCAACTCAGTTGAGAACATATAAACTTGAAACTATTCTGCTACCACTGATTTACTGTCTGTGAGTGTGACCTTGTTTGATTTGAAACCTCCATGGCAAAACAGGAAAAGGTATCTATGGGCACTCCACTGATATTTGTATAATGAGCAAATACATGGATAAAATGAGTAGATGGTTGCGTCTTCAGCTGTTCACTGCTTCCAGATGAAAAGGAGTCATCTTCACTTTTACCCCACATCAAGGATTGCTCCAGAAGTCAGAGGCTCATTGAAGTCTGGGTTCGGAGAGCTCATGGTGCCAACTGGAGTGAGTAACGAGCTCCCCTCCTGGGCCCATTCTTTTCGAGGCCACACACCCCACACCACCAAGCCTGCATTCTTCTTCCTCCTGACCAGGACTGCCTGAACACCATTCCAGTGGGGACAGGTCAGTGACACTGTGTCCATTTGAGGGCTTATAAATATGCATTTATGACAAACTGACAGGATGGACTAGTCCATAAGAGGACATAAAGAAAAGGTTACAAAGGTTTAGTGAAATTCTGCTCTGAAGTCTGTGTTTTCCTTTTCATGGTGTCTGAATTGAGCTCCTCTCCGCCTCACAGCTGGCCAACCCCTGCTGAGATGGCAGACATGGAGGTTCTGTCCATGCAGGCTGTCCTTTGCCCATCTTTCTGTCTGTTCCACCCCCACCTTGCAGTGTTTGATGAAAAGCTCAGAACTACTCCAAAGGGAGAGGTCAGAGCAGGAGGAGAGTTTTCTATATCTGACAAGGGAGCCGGAGCAGACACACAGTTATTTACTCTCTTCTGACGTCAGATACTGTCTGGGTCCTGCTCTTTGCCTCTGTGTGATCCTGGGAGTGCAGACACACTCACCTCGACTGTCACCAGCAAAGGAAATTTTTCAAGAACAAGCTGCAGCCAGAGGGGGTGGAGATGCTAAAATGACTTAAGGCACTGAGGTAACTCTTATTCTTCCTTCAGATATCAACTCAAACATTGTTTCTCAAGTTACAATAGGTTAAATTTATAATAGTTCAACTCTGTCTGTTTCTTCTACAAGTTTGACTATTTCAATCCTCAATGCCTAGCCCTACCCTAGAACATTTTGATGCTCAAATTTTTTTGAATGGATGAATTTTCCCAAATCTAGTTTGCTCATCTTATATGTGAGTTTATACTTCAACTTCCTAAATATGTTTAACCAGTTGCTTATAAGAGATGACCTCAAAGACAGGCAAACTTCATAGGCTGTGTGTGTGTATGTGTGTGTGTGTTTGTGTCTCCCAATGCAAAAATAAATTAAGGTACAAGGAATAACTGATATAACTAATTAATACACTTTAACTTATTAAATGCCACAAAGGAAGGTGGGGGTGTTGGTAATATTCACAGTGATCACTACCGATTCAAAGAATTTAGAGAAGAAATACCCACTCAGTATCTTATTATACCCTTAACATAAGTCCTACGAGTTTGTTTGTTTTTTAAAAAAGGGGTAGATTTAACCATCCCCACTGATTTGTACAATGTCACATAGTTTGAGATCTGACAAGATTAAAACATAATATTTGACCGTCTGACTCCCAGCTAAGGTGTTCTCAATCTTCCATATATAAAACTATCAGAAAAGTACATCTCAAAAATAAGATCAACATTTACCATATTATACACCACATTTATTCAGGTATCTAGATAATGTGTTAAAATTTTAACTGATTTCTGCTTATAGCCCTTTTGTACACCTGTGTTAAAAATAGCATGTAAATAAATAAAGGGTAAAGTTGCTAGGTATAAGACAATATAGAAAAGCCAATTGTATCTGCCTATACCAGCAACAGCTAGAAAAAATTTATAAGACCTCTCTCTGGGTAAAATAATCATACAATTTCATTGAAAGAAATTAAAGAAGACCTACATAAGTAGAGAGATGTTTTATGTTTGTAGAAAAGAAGACAATATCATAAAGATATACTTTTTATTATACTGAACTAAAGAATGGGTGTAATTCCAATTAAAATACCAGAAGGTTTATCTTAGAACATAATAATCTGAGTTTGAAATTTATATGACATAAAAAGAGCCCAGAACAGCCAAGATACTCCTAAAGAAAAAGAACACAATTAGGGAGACATGGCCTAGCAGATATCAAGATCATTTTAGAACTACAGTGAATGGCACTGGAATAGGGATGGACACATGGACGGATGGAAATGAGAGCGCTCAGAAACACACCCATGCATACAAGAAACTGGATACATGACCTGCAGATTAGAGGGCGAAAAGATGGGCTCTTCAATAAACAATAATGGCACGCTGGCTACTTATACAGAAAACAAATGGATCACTGTTTCTCATCACACAGGAAAAACAATTTCGGATGATTTAAGAAATGATATGTGAAAGGCAACATTAAAATCGCAGGATCAAAAATATCTTTAATATTTCAGGGTATGAAAAAAAACATAAGCCATAAGGAAAGCTTGATAACTCAACTATATTAACTATATTAATAACTAAATTCAATGTATTAATAACTATAGTGGAGTAATTAATAATAAAAGGCAAACCAGAACACATAAAATTGACAAAGGATTAATATCCAGAATCTGTCCATACTCAGTAAGAACAAGAAAGGTATCTATTGCAAAAGTTAAAAACTTTAAGGGGAGGCTGTGCAATGACGGAATTCCTCACTCTGCAATTTTTCAGCATGTGGCCTTGCCACAGGCAGAGTGTTCTGTGACCAGCCACCCCTGGATTAACCAAAGAACTTATATGCATATGTGCATAACTCATGGACATAGTGAGGGGGGCAGGGCGGGATGGAGGGGGTCAATGGGGAAAAAAAGGGGCATTTGTAATACTTTGAACAATAAAAATAAATCAAAAAAACAAATAAAAAATAAAATCCATATATAATTATGAACATTTAATTAAAGTTCATTAAGAATTCTTTAGCCCAACTTTTAATAGCTATATTTAGTCATCACATAATGATGATAGCAGAAGGTACAACCAACCCTACTGTTGGCCATTTAGGTTGTTTCCAATGTTTTGCTAGTATACATAAAAATATTATAAATACATTTGTAATCTTCATACATATCTCTGATTATTTAAGATATATTTTTTAAAGTGGTATAAATGGTAGGCATGTTTAATGTAAGTTTTTGCCAAATTGTCCTCCAGGAAATATTACTAATTTATACAGCAGCATATGAATATGTTTTTCCTCCCACAACCTCCCCAACACTGGTTAAAAACATAAACTTTGGCAGATTTATAAGTGAAAACTTGTACACTGCATTTTTCATTGATATTGATTTAAGCAACAGTGACGCTGAACATTTTTGTTTATGTTCACTTAGTGTCTATGTGGTTTACTTGCTTAATCCTCTGCCCATTTTTCTACTGAAGGGTTTGCATTTTTTGATGGCACATAAGAGTTCTTCATACATTCAGGCTACTAATCCTTTCTCTGCCAGGCATGTTAAACATTGTCATTTATTCTTTACTTTTGTTTTTGTTAGTTTGCTTAAAGTTATACATAATCAAAGAAATCTTTTCCTTTCATGGTCCATTCTCTGATATTCCATTACTAATGCCTATATTAAAAGAGTTTAACTCGGCTCTCCCATTGCGCCTCTTGCAATAAAATCCCTCATCTAAATGAAGACAACACCACCTTCTCACAGGGTCACTGTGAACATTAATTAAGATAACTGTACTCGTGTGCTTTTAAACAGTAAAGCAACTTATCAATGTCAATTACTAGCAGCCCCCAATACCTGCCAGTTATTAACACCAAATGCCCTGTGGTGGAAAGTTTATCATTCTATCCAGGCAACCTGAGCAGATGGACTTGGGAATAACAGTATGGAAAATCAAATGGGACGACAGGAGAAAGACACTGTGACAGAGAAGCCCCTTTGACATCCCTCAGCAGGTTCAGAACCACAGAGTCACGAGAAGAAGCCCCGACAGCACAGGCTCTCTTACCTTGACTTACTCTTCCCCTTCGTCCAACTCAGTTTCCTTGTGCACCACCACTCTCGTGACCGACATGTCGGGGTGCTGCTCTCTGGCTTCCCTGATGGCCTGGGCCAGTGCCTGCCAGGGTCAGGAGACAACACTGTCAGTGGAGGAAAGGGCTCCTTCTCAAGGTGGCCAAACACATGCCTGCTGAGCCCTGGGATTCTGCCTCTGCTCTTTGAGGAAGCAGGAAGACCTGAAATGGGCTCACTGTTCCTTTTAGAGGCTGCTTCTCATTTCCTCAGAGTCCCCATTTGTCCAGGCTACTTTCAAACAATAACACATGTGGAAGAAGCAGGCTGGCTCTGAATCCCAGCCGTGCCCTCACCACAAGATCTGGGAAACGGATCTGCTCTGACCTTAGCATTCTCACCTATCACCTGAGATTAAATGCTCAGGCTGCAGAGAGCATGTTCAGGTCTGTTGTAAGGATAGAAGGGATGGTGTACAGCACAGAGCTTGCCCCGCACACTCAGGTGACACTTGCTATTGACCAACTGCCTGAAACCCCAAGGTGCAGGACTAGGTCTCATGCACCTCTGCCCTCTTTGGGCTCTCAGTAATTGAGTAAAATGTTTGTTGAACTGAAAAATGTTGCAGTAAAAATACCTATAAACTTCTAGGGCACAGAACAATGAAAACCCACAAATGATAGTGACACACAATCAGTACAGTTTGAGACCAGAGTAGACAGATCCCTACTTTACAGCTGAAAACAGTGAAGGAGCAAAGGTTAACGGGTCTTTCCTGCCGGGGCTGCAGGGCAGGAGTGGGCCTCAGGGTGCCCTCCCACTAGTTCTCTCTGGACCTGTTGTGAACAACAATAAGGTTTCCTGCAATGTATCAGAAAGTGCTGTGGCAAATGGAAAGATCCTATTTTTTGGAGGGGAAAGATTTTTAAAGAAAAGTACAAGAAAACACCATAGAAGAACACTAAAAATCGAGGACAGATCTCTGAAACAAAGAAATTCTACCAGGCTAGAGAGCACCCTACCTCATAAGGAAAATATACTTCTAGGAAAAGCAGCATGATGGTTCCTGTTGCTGTCAACTGCCTAAGGGGACAACTGCATTTTTGTTTGGAATATAGTTTGTCAGCCGGAAGGTTACTGAGCCAAACCCTGAGCCTCATCCCACACAAAAGAGGTAGGCTACAAAAGAAGAAATTGTTTTTACACCAAAAAACTTTTGCACAGAAGCCTGGAAGACACTTAGGGGTGCTTAAGTGTTCACTAGGGGACAATCTCCCGCACCCCACCTGTGTCAGGACAAAAGCAAAGTCAGACAGGGAACAGCCTCCAATATGAGTAGCAGCTCCACTGCTTGTCTGGTAAGCAAGGCAGGAGAACCAGAGGGCAAGAGTGGAGTGGGGTGAAGAGCAGGGCTCTCATCTCAAAGAAGGTCAGAAGGTGCTTCTGTGTATGGACCACAATTCGAACAGGAGTATACATGTGTTCAGAGGGAAGAGGGAGACTAGGACGATCAAAATTGTCTACCCATGTTGGTCTGTGGAATCCTAATTGGGAAGGATTGGAGCTTTGATGGAAGTCAAATGTAGCCACAGGCAACTTATCAGATACTTTTAAGTTTACGTTCACTCCAAAGATTACATTAAAACACTGTAAATGTTAAAGCGAAAATACAAATTATGTCCATGGGTAAGTAACACATGTTAAACATGCTTTAATTAGAAAAGTAGACAGGCCCAGGCCGAGTAGCTCCACTGGGTAGACCGTAGTCCCATACACCAAGGTTGTGGGTTTAGTCCCCAGTCAGGGCACATACAAGAATCAACCAATGAATACATAAGTAAGTGGAACAACAATGCTTTCTATCTATCTATCTATCTACCTATCTATCTATCATCTATCTATATCTCTTTCAAAATCACTCAATAAATTAAAAAATTAGCAAGTAGAGAAAGTAAAAAACTGCTAGTCATCTTTAAATAGTCAAAATCAGTTTGCCATTAGTTTCTTTCATTTCATGATATTAGACATGAAATTAAACAATTTAAATGTTAATTTATTATGGTAATAATAGACTGTGAGAAAACATATCACATTGCCAAACTGGTAAGTTATTTTCTTAGAACTGGGTTTTGCTCAGTAACCTTCGGCTGACAGCTGACCGAGGAGCAAGGGCCAGGTCATTTACACATCCCCAGTAGAGAAGTGAGTGTCAAGGACTGACTGGCACAGGGTAAAGAACCCACAAAGCAGGTTTCGATGAAAGCATGCCTCTTTAATTTGCCAGCACAAGAGATTCCTTTTTTCCTGTCTTGCTCAGATGAAGCAATTCCTTCCACTATGAAGATTCTTTTAACGTAGGCAAGGAGCTGAAAAGGTGTCAATGATATTAAAGTCACTACATGATCAACATCGGTTTTGGGCAAAGAGGTGATATCTCTCCTTTAATTTCAAATAGTTCTGTCATCTCATCATAGGTGTTAAAAAGTAGGTGAACTCATGAGTTTCTAGTGACAATCAGACCAAAAGCCACAATTAAATTTAGTCAGAAAAGTGTATGCCATCTTATGATTAGACATGACAAAGTATAAAAGTTGCATCTCTATTCTCATCATTTGGATATCTGACCTCAGTTTTAAAATGGGTTGAAGCACATCATGTAAGTGGGAGGCGTGTACTCACAGCAAGTTAATGCTGCAGCCATACCATGACTGTTTCCTACTGTAAGAGTTAGAAACATGTGCTACTTGGGTACTTACATTTCAGTCTGTGTTTTTTCTACCTGCCTTTCAGAAGCAGTATTGCCTAGCTTTATTTTGTTAAAACAGGCCAAAAGACAAAAGAATGCACATAAAATAAAATCTGAGAGTAATCCCTAAGAGAAAATAGTGGCTTCTGAAAGCCGGAAAGGTCTCAGTTCACAGAAGACAAAAGGTAAAAGAAACAAAGGCTGGGAGAAAACCCAATTTCCATTACTACCACAGAAAGTGGGCTCCTGCTAGCATGCTGTAGGGATTAACAAATGCTTGCTGAGCGAGAGTCCTAGAGCAAAAGAGCGAGAATACCTTTACTCCAACTTAAGGTCAAAAGAACTCCAGATTGTACAGTGAACAGAGGCAGAAAAATCCTCTCCATGGGAAACTGGAGGCTTGGTTTCCAAGCAGGTAATTCTCTCTCCAGTGGTAAATAGGCTCATGTGCTGGTTACCACTAGGAATCTGCGCTCTTAGGTCAAAATTCAGAGTCAGGGCAACCCTTCAACCTCTAATAATGCAAGGAAATAAAAAAATACATATCTAATATGTAAGTAAGCCCTGTTTACAGAGATTTAACAAAAACAGTAATTTCCTTAGAGGGCATAGTAGAAAATCTATTTCTATTTTGGTCATATACAGTGAGACTTTCTTACATGAGAAATTTTGTTCTCTAAAATTCTCTTTCCTGAATTCTATATTGCATTCAAAGCTGGTTAACAAACATTTGTCCCTCCTCTCCAGCTGGTTGGTCAACTGAACATTTCTTTTTCTTTCCTTCAAGTTGTTATACAAGAAAATATCTTGGCCCAGCTGGTGTGCCTCAATGCTAGAGTGTCAACCTATGAACCAGGAGGTCATGGTTTGATTCCCTGTCAGGGCACACGCTTGGGTTTCTGGCTCAATTCCCAGGGCAGGAGGTAGCCAATTGGTGATTCTCTCTCATCATTTATGTTTCTCTCTCTCTCTCTCTCTCTCTCGCTCTCTCTCTCTTCTTTCTTTTTGTTTCTCTCTCTCTCTCCTTCCCTCCCCCCGCACACACACACACACAAAATCAACAAAATTTTTTAAAAAAGAAAAACAGCTTGGTCTCCTTTAAAGTTGAGTTAAAATCACTCAGAAAATAATGAAACAAAAACTCATCACTTGAAACTGCTATCCTAAATTAAAACTACTCTCAAAGTCTACAGCAGTTCTATTTACCACCTGCTTTTAAATCATACATCCTGCTCAACATTAGAATGGAAGCTCAATTCTTTCAATTTTTTTCTGAATACATATAAATTTTCACTTTGTAAAAGACCTCAGATTACTTTCTCCCACCCTTCAATAATAGTAATAATTACTAGTAAACACCCCAATTTTCCTAATGCTGTAAAAATTTCAAGTTCCTAAAAGTAGTCATAAAGCAAACTTAGTGGCTTATTTTTTGGAAGTCAGGATCATTAAGCTGCCATTCATTTTTTAATCACTGATGACTTGCCTTAAACCAGGCCCACATGAATACCTAACAGCTGCCAGGAATCCCCACAATTATTTTGACCCCAAAGTACACAGAAATCCAGTGGGAAACAAAAAGCAATCCCCAGAGTTAGGAAGGCTGAAAGGACAGGTATGTCCAGGCCTTTATCCCATGCTTAGGATTCAGCCAAGAGGCACTGGGAGGAGGGGTAGGATATACTTTATGTGATATGATGACAGGCATAAAACTTAGAAAATAAACACGGTCAATTTCAGAACCAGAACCGCAGGACTTTACCTGGTCATGGTCAATATCTGTATCTCCTGTGATCACGATGCGTTTCTCAATTCTTGTTTCAGATATTCCACCTTTTATCATCTAAAGGTCATAAAGAAAAGAAGGGGGAAAACAGTAATCACTAAAGCTGTGTACACAGAGTCAGGAAAAACAGATGGGGCACACCTAGACCTTCTGATCATTGTAAGGCAATGCACACTGAGCAGGGAAGGCTGATGTTCTGGAAACTTTCCTTATTTTTAAGCTCAATGGAGAATCCTGTGGTTAAAGCTATAGCATCCGTAAGTTCCTCAACTGAAAGCAACCTTAAAACCTAATGAATCAAGATTCAGGTGACACTGAGAGGGACCAGCTGCCATTTAATCCACATGGTTCCACTGGGACACTGTTAGAACTTCCTGAGTCTCCTCATTCCCAATTGGTCAATTTTTTAAAAGGAGAAGAAATAATTATTTGGTTTATGGAAAGTTACAAGGAATTCTAACAATTTCAGTATCTTTAGGTTTGGAAATTGCTTGATGTTATCGTTTCGTCTGCTTAATTCTCGTCATACAACTCTATTTGGTGATTTTATTTCTTTGGTTTAGCACAATAACAGAAATAGAGAGGACTTGGATTTGGCTGTCATTCAATGCTGTGATCACAGCTTCTGCATGTAGTTGTACGTGTGGACATGGCACATGGCTGACAGGGCTATGTGATGGGCCGTGTGGGCAGGAGCTCTTGGGAATTGCCACACAGTCACTGGTATAGAGCAGCTAACATAACAGAGCCTGGGCCCTGACGCTGAAGAGATCACATGCCTGCGACATCCTAAACAGACAAGGAGCAAATCCACACAGTCCTGAGGAAGCACATACCCAACCTTTGGGACTCTGATAAATGTATACACTAAGTCACAGTGATTACACTTCATCATACGAAACAAGGCTATCACTTGCCTTAATAACTGAATGTGCTTTAAAATGCTCAGCCATACTATCTCTCATTTATGTGGCATTTGTTGATTTACAAAGTTTTTTGTTGAAATAAGGGGTATGGAATGCACAAAGGATACATTTAAGACCTTCAGGCACTAACCAAATATGAGAAGTAGAAGCAAAAGGGATTACTGGAAAATAAAACTGGAGTTAGCAATCTGAGGACTGTGGCAAGCACAAGAATCACTGAGAGGGCCTAGGGTTTCAGTGGGTCCCAAGTGGGACCACAGTGCTCACACTTGTAACAAGTCAGGCTGCTGCTAGTCCAGAGACCACACCTCCAGAATCACTGGTCATCTGATCTGGTGTTAAACAGTTAGAGAATGACCTGGAGACACACCCCAAGTCAACACGCTAGTATCGTCAATCAATGAGGGAAATTTACATTATTTGAAGAACTTGTTGAAAATGCTGAATGATAGTCAACATTCACTTTGTACTTTCTAATAAACCTGTGCTTCCACTTTTATTAAATTCTCTCTATTCCTGTAGCTGTCTTAGGTATAGCTATTTATAGCATATTTTTACCCCCTTGCACTTTACAAATTGCAATTCGTTTTAAATACATTTGTCAATGGAGCCCAATTTTCTTGGATACTTTAAATGTCTGCATGTTTATTCCACTGGCACTGTCTGCGTATTACTTTGAAGTGTGTATAGGAACAAAGAAACACTTCAGAAAGGATCCTGTTTGCAATGTACCGTCCTCTCCCAAAGACTCCCCTGGATTGCTTTACCTTAGTGATGTGTGTGGTAGTGGTTGTCGACACGGAATCAGATGTGATGGTTTGTGCAGTCAGTAACGTGCCCGAGTCACCAGCAGCCCCGCCATCAATCTTTGGATAGTTGGGGGAAAAATACAAAGCAATACTTAACTTCCATTATGTTTTCATAGAAGATGCCCTTCCCATCAAATATGCATCTTTTAAAGTCTTTGTACTTGGAAGAAGATGCTATCTGCCTTTTCAAGTTTATAGTGGTAATTTACTGACCAGCATTGGCTGACATTTAAACAGAATAAAATCAAAGATTAAATGCACGGGAGAAGCAAACCCCAGACACAGAGAGACAGAAAAAAAGAAGAGTGGATATAGGAGTTGGGTCTGAAAGCTATGGGGGTCATGAGAGAAGTTGACTGAAAGCCAGTTATATAAATTGAAAAAGAAACCAGAGAACCAGGCAGAGACGTTGCCACAGTGACCAGAAGTGCTGGTTTGTTATTTAAGCACAGGTGGGTAAAAATAGATAAACGTTTTCTCAGATTACTAAGCAACAGAACCTAACTAGAATAGACTAAACTAACATCGTTTGGTTATTATGCTTATCTTTAGATTTTTAAACAACACTTTTCCTGTAACAGTCCGTTGCTGTGAGTATATTATGAAGATATATGTTTCAATAAGTATGCATGCATGTGTGCGCTCTCTCTCTCTCTCTCTCTCTAAATATATATATGTATATATATATACATCTATACATATATCTCATATATAAATCCTGTGCAGATAACTAAATAGGTTTTAATTTGTTTGTTTTGATACTTTTCTGGTAGAAAGTTCTAGAATTTACTAGTGGAAATATAGCAAATTAATAGTTTTAGTTTATACTAAGATCATAAACTAAATGTTAGTTTAAGGTCACCATATATATTTGCCTCCTGTTTCCTGACACAGGAAGGTCCAGAGCCCTTCTTACTGTAAGGTAAGAGGCAATCTCTCTCGCATTTGGTTCATACAATGTATTTCTTCACAAGGGCACTCACCACCATAGGAACACACGGGTACCTGCTCTCCCACCACACCCATGCATCAAAGACCTGTTTGTGCTCATGTGGGCTCTATGCACAGCATTTCTAAAATAATGTTGAGGAATGCTTCACATATACATGCATTAAAAAATATTTCAAGACGGTAACAATCTACCATTTTTCAGCATGGCACAATCCTATTATGAACATTAAATTTCTCAGTCAAGAAAATAGTTGTCTGAATTTCTAAACAGTTCCATTTGAAATGATAAATATTTTCCCTTTTTCTGCTACCCTTAAAGTTAGATATCTTAATGATTAGCTCAAATATTTACAGAATCAATGTCTGAATACTTAAAATCAAACACACACATTTGTTTAGAACAGTTATCACATTTACATAAGAATAATGGCATATGTCTTCAGAAAATAATCCCATGTGAAGGAGAAACACAAATGTGTGTGCACATGTATGTAAACTTGCAAGAGTTGACTGGATCTGTCTTCATGGGGAGGGATGCCTAAATCCTACTAATGCACAAATTATATCAAACTCTGTAAGATGATCTGTTTCCCAAGTATACATAAACAATCCTAGATACTTTAAGCCACAAATGGCTTATAATAATATGAACAAGATTGGTACTGCCTGTCTTCAATAATCATGTGTATGCTTCCTCCCTGAAATTACTGGGTCACCAATTTGATTACAGTTCTCTGTCCCAATCTAAGAAGCAACATAACAAGTTATGTTGTTGAAGTACAACTATGAAATGGAGATATAAAACAGTACATCAAAGTCAGAAACATGTAAACTAGGAGAAGACAGAATGGAGAGAGAAACAGACTAAGTGAAAAAGAGCTCAGTCCAAATCTAGAGCTTTCGTACCTGTGAAGACTCATATGTGATGGTCTTGGTTTCTGTTTGAACAATAGGCACTTCCTTGGTAGAGATTTCTGTCCTTTGTGAGGCATCAGAAATTGTTACCATCTCTGTCTTTACCACGGGTGGCTGAGGTGGAAAGGAAGAGGAAAATAAATTCCAGAGGTAATGTAGTAAAAGTACTTAACGGAGCCTTCAAAAATAATTGTAAAAATATGGATATCCAAACACACACTCATTCACAAAAGAAAAGAGTAAAAGCAAATAATCTAAGAAAGAAGACACAAAAGAAAAACACTTTCCTTTAAATATCATATGCATATGCATATGTATGTATATATGATAAGAATAAAGTAACATAATTGCTCCATAAATTATGGTATGCTTCAAATTATGATACGCTTCAGGTTATGATGGTCCCCAAACTACTTACGTGTCAAGCCTGGTATACAGTGACATATAAACTTTAGCTTTGGGTAAGTAATGATAAACTTGAAAAGAAAACACAGAATGAACTATGTGAAGTGACCTGCCTCAATTTTTACTGCGGTTTAAAGAACAACATGATTTGCGTGAAGGCTTGTTGTCTTTAACTGGTACGCCATCTAGGTAGGCTAAAATTTGCTCTTTTCTTCAAAAAGCCTTTTCTGCTCTATTGACAAGGAGATTCCATTTTCAAGTCTTACTGTTTCCAATTATACTTGTCTAAAATTTGCAGTGTTTCTTCTCTATTAGCTAAGTCAAACTGTTATATCTAGGATTAGTCCACGAATATGATATTAATGCTTTGAACAATTAAACATTAAAAACATTAAAGGAGAGATTCACGGACCGTTAACATGGTCTGCTGAGCATGTATGTTTAATACAACGCCAGACTAACTACTACCAGCAAAATACTACCAAGTGTAATGTAAGGTAAATGTGGAAAATAATAGAGCATCCCAGGACTCACAAATGTGTTCTCTGAAGAGAACCAGAAAGTTTAAAAGTGATATAATAATAAATCCTTTTAATTATTTCAAGACAAAGTCACTTCAAGATTTTTCCAGCTCATCAAAGAGAGAAAATGTGGACAATCCCTGCACTGTGGGCAGCTCAACTTAGAATGAAGACATATCCACCCGGAAGTTTGCCTTCCCTCAACAAAACTTGAACTTCCAATTCAGAGACACTGCACCTAGAGACCAAGACTTCATCCAAGAAGAGGGAAGTAAGTTCTCTATCCTGAAGAGAAAAAAGAAAAGACTGAGATACCCTGTAGATAATCCACAGAACATATGATCAACTTGCAAATAATCCAGAATTGATGATAGGACAGAATGAAAAGAGTACTGTAATCTATTAAACAGTTGGCCTCTGGCTGCCTAAAAGGAAAGAAAAGGCTTTAACCAAACCATACAATCCCCAGAAATCATACTGGTATTCAAGAAATACTGTTTTCATCACTGCCAGATGTTGAATTCAGAGCACCATGGTAATCAGGGCCTGCTGCCATTTCTAAAACTCTTAAGCTGAAGAGACAATGAGCCAAAAAATCAAAGCCAGTCACAGCAGCAGCACACACACTCACGCTGACCATTTTCCAATAATGCATATACAATTTTCTAATTAAACCAATGAAAAAGGCGTTAAGTATGAAGCAGTGCAACCAAAGACAAAAAGTTGAAAACATCCAAAACATGCAAAGAAAAATTTAGATGTGAAACAAGAATGGAAAAATGGTGTGGTGGGTTGTAGAAGTTTACTGGATGAGGTGATGCAGTTGCAGGAAAGGAGCTAACAACCTTGACCGAGCTGGCAGAAAGTCTACAAAGCAGTGCTTTCCCCTTCCTCCCGTGAGATCAAAGTCAGAATCTTGCTGAAAAAGCTGAGGGAGAGTTGGGAGGACAGGAGAAGAAGAAAAGCAGGTGTTCTCCACCTGAGAAATAGCTCCAGAGTTTAGCTCCCGCTTGAGTCTCCCATTTACCTCTGAACAACAAATAATTTGTGGCAAAACATCAATGTCAACATGAGACACCTCTCCGTTAACTTTATGTTGCTCGTCCTCTGTGTCTTCACTCACATCTTGCTTAAATGCGCCTTCGTGTACACTCTTCTCTGCAGGTATCTTAGGGGCAACTACATGCTCCTGGGTCACTGTTTCTACTGCGCTTACACTGGCCCCTGCGTGTCTGCCTGGGCTGGCTTCTGGCACTGCTGCCTCCCTCTCTACTACCTGGGATGCTTGGCTGGGTTCTTCCTCCACCTCTTCTTCATCCTCCTCCTGCTCTTCCTTTATGGTGCCCTCAGTCACCCGGTGGTGGGGCCGGTACTCGCCCACATCTTCCTCCTCGCTCTCACTGCTGCTGCTGCTCTCAGAAGACAGGGAGGTGGAGTCTTTCTGTGTCAGAGGTTCCACCTTACGGATGTCCCCAGGACCACTCCCGGGTGATAGCTCTTTACCGTTCATTTCTTCTGTGATTACTCTTTGGTCTTTCCCAACCTCTGCCTGCTTCTTCTCCTCCACTACATTCAGAGTCTCATGTGAACTCTGCACAAAAAAGAAGCGGATGAGGGAGAACAAAAATATATGAATAAATAAAAATGACGGAAACCCAAACCAACTGATGGAAGGCTCATGTCATGGAGGAAAACAGTGATGGTTATGATGGCTGACTGAAAGGGAAGCGGGGAAACGTGACAGGTCAGAAGCGGCAGGCAATGGTGTTAACATGGAAAGGGGAGAACCTTAACAGCATCACTGGCTCCAGCGCAATGCCCTTCGGACTCGGGAGCGCGTTTCTGTGAAACAAAAAGCAACCGAGGACACAAATCAATAACGTTTTACCTCAACACCCACTAAACAAACATCTGACACTGTGAAGACAGAACAGTGCAAATCAACATCCACAAAACCTTTGCTCAAGGTCACATGAAAGACAAGACAGAGGTAAAAAGTTTACACAAGAAAACAAAAACACAAAACAGCCAGCATCTCCCAAAGAAATAAAGTGCTTTTACTATAGTTGTATCTATTAGCTCTACAAATATAATTGAAAAGACAGGGGAAAAACTGGAATTATACCGAAGCTTACTGATTATCTTAAAGTATAAATTTTAAAATTATAAAACCAATTCAACAAACAGTTTTGGTCTTAATCAGATTATAAAGCCTAACTGAAACCCTGATTCCTAAATGAATACAGTATTAGTAAGATGAAATTTTTGTTTTATGCTGGCTCATTTAAAAACACAGCTTTAACTGGCAAAACTATTGTTGATCTCAGATAACATAAAAATGTTATTCCAGAATTGGCTATTAACATCCAAACTAGATTGCAGATTAACAAACGGGATGCATGACATTAGGGTGGATGTCAACAATGATTGCAAGTGTTCTCCCTTAGAATTCAGCCCCACTCCTAGCATCTTTGAAAACCTCAATGAACCAACTTTGTTATTTGAGATGCTCACCCTTGCCCCCCTGCAGACGTTTATTCCTTGTGAGTGAATTGACTCTAGTAAGTAGTACAGTGCCTAAATGTTCATTATTATTATAGGTCGGTACATTATTATTATATTTAACTTCAAATGCTCAGATGGGTTCTGCCCAAGTTCACGGAATTCCTTAAGCTCATTCCAAAAAAATGAAAACAACTATTTCACTGAATATGGCAGGCATCTCAGAGTTTTCCATGTAAACAGTTTTCAAATGATAAGCCATCAGAAGATGCCTGAAAGACACTTGGATTTTGAATACTTTTAATTCTGGAAGCACACTTAGCTTATTTACTTGGTTGAGGGTTTCCCTCCACATAAAAACTCCGAATCTGGGCTTTAGTGGTTTAAATGATTCTCCGAATTTAGATAGATTTTTTTTTTTTTTGGTGGTGGTGGTGGTGGTGGTGGGGTAATGGGGGGCACCCAAAAGCAGAACATCCAAATTCAGTCATTATTTCATGAATGTTTTTCCCAGGAAGGATTAATTTCATCAATGAAAGCACTAAAGGGAAAGGTTCCTGGATATTTAAAAAATAAAAATCACTCTCATATGCGGCTTTTAAAAACAGGGGAAACAAAGTAAAATGCACCTCAGGCAACTGTGAGAAGGGCGAGGAAGAAAGTGTTTCACAAGGTGCATTACAGTTCACACCAGTGCCCTCTGCTGTCCAAGTGGTGGCTGAGGTGAAGGTAGCTTTCATGCTATCAGAAAAGCCCTTTTCACTAAACAAAATGGATGTTATCGCATGTGGCAGTTTGCCTGAATGCCAGCTTTCCACCCTGCTTGAGAATCAGTTATAGTTCCAACCTATGAAAACAGCCTAAGGCTCCTTGGTTTGTCACTAAAACTTTCATCACAAACTGAGCATGGCCTACCTATCCATCAAACACTGTTTTGTATATTCTTGAGGCAGCTCTTCAGAGTAGGCCTCTTTCTTCAGAGAAGGAACTCTTCAGTGGCCCCTCCACCTGAAATGCTTATTCCTGTGTCATAGCTTGGTGGTCCTATCCTGCCTCCAATGCCCTTCCGAATTTTGTCATCTGTCTGAGGTGCACCTAATATTCCATATTTTGTGCATGCCCTTCTCTAACCATTCCAGATCCTACTAACTTTTCCCTTTTCCACATTACTTTGTTCACAAATGATCTGATAGCAACCCATAGAAATTCCCTCAGGTATGCAAAAATGCCACTGAATGAATAGCACCTTTTTTCCCCAATAAGAAACAAGTAAAGAAAAGAATTCTAAATAGGAAAACAAACTCAGGGGTGAAAACTCAGTGAGCAATGTTAAAATCATCTGTCCCCGAAAAACTAAGATAAATGTAATCTTCACATTCCTGGCCCTTGAGTGATGGTCCCTAACCTGCACAACAGGAAAGTTGAGAACTGTCCCAGGTACCAGAATGCTAACAGCAAAGAGTCACCATGAAGCGCCTACTGCCCATAAGAACTTAAAGATGGATGGATGGATGGACGGATGGATGGACGGATGGATGGATGGATGATTGGTTAGGTGGATGAATGTATGACATTTTAGGGGTGCCCCTTTTGAGACAGTGCACTAGGAGGAGTGAGGAATAGGGACAATGAGATGAGGAGGGCTAGGTGCATAAGCATTTGCAATATTCAGGAGAAAAAGAAATCTTCTGGACTAATTAATTTTCATTATAATCTCCATAATTACACCATCCCTAGGGGTTGAACTGGTGGAGAGGGGGTCCTTGCCAGTAAGAGATCATGGGGAATTTAAATAAGTGTTATTCATTTAATTATTCAATAAAATAGATATTTCAAAAGTACTTCAAAACTATAGTCTATGTAATCACTACTAACTCATAAGACTCTTGTATTATACAAGTTTAAGTATGTCATAATCTATTAAAGAATTATTTGATTTCCAACTTCCTGCTCAACTCTCAAAATTATTCATATTCAAACAGAATCCATTTTGAAAGTTCAATGCATTAACTTTTAAACAAGAAACTACTACTGTTTTTTAAATCTGTAAAACCTGTATTACAAAAATCTGGAAAATTTGGTCAAATTATACTCATGCATAATTATTTTACATTTCATTAAGGATTACAATTTAAAGATAATCAAAAACCCTGCAAAATCAGTAGCAAAATGAAGATGCAACAAAGACAAAAATTTGTAAGATATCCTGTTAAAAGTCAAAACACTGCAGTAGACATAACTACTCACACACTTCCAACTAATAGCAGTGATACGTTGTTATCTGGGGAAAGAGACACACTGCAAGCGGTAAACCAAAGTTTGTTGGGAGGATGGATGAAGGATGATTGCAGTAACAAGTCATGTGTATGTCAAATAAGTACATATTTTCCTGCATGTGCTGGAGAGGAAAAGAACAAGAAAAGAGCAGTAACATCAAGTGCAGATAAACGATTTTGGAGCTTAACAGTGGGCAAATTCCAGGTTTAAACTTCACATAAAGTCTTTTTAAGGTAATGTCTACGACATCATATTTTACATTGTACATTCCTAAACCATGACATCCAGAAAAATGATTAACTGTAAACATCTTCAACAAAATTCCAAAGTCTCCTACAGCAAAAATACAAGGACATTACTTTGAATTGAACAACTCTACCATTTGACTTGCTTCTGGGTGTGAAAGCTTCAAAAATACATAACTTTTTAAAGCATGTAATATTAAAATCATCATTTTACACAGAGTCTATTGGCTTTGGACTTCATGCTAACATTTTAATATATAAATATGCCACTTGGTTTAGCTTTCTTATCTGCAATATTCTGGAATTATTTCACCTCAACTATACCTCAAATTCCTTTAGAGCAAGACTTCATCTTCTATTTATTTTGCCTCCGTCTCCATTCCACTGTATGTTCTGATAAATAATACTCTCTACTCACATACAA